ATAGTATTACCAATCGGTGGCAACTAACGACTTGACTAGCCTATTGGTCCCAGGCAAATCGATTAACGAACCCCATTCTAGTGAAAATTCTAGCACTACATTATGTTTGTTTTGATTCGCTATGAAAGTTTGACAGATAAAATGAGGGGTTCGAGGATTTTCCTATGTTTCGAGTGTTGCATCGATTAGCTTGGGACCGAAGAGAGTACCAGAGCTGAGCCAAAAAGAGGAACACGTTTCTTCGGGACCTTCTGGTCTTGGTATTACCCACTCCAGTGGCACAAAAGTCATCCAAGGACACTTTACTTGAAGCCGATTTTTACAGCTAATTTACAGGGTACCCTTTTATGGGATTGTTTTCGTTTTAGTTAAAAAAAATTGATAACCTACCTACTTGAGCACAGGATCCTACCTAACTACTTTAACGTGCCAAATCACGAATGATCTGGTGATTTGATCGCAGACAGGCGACTCTGAACCTTTCCAGCGTGGACGTCTTTCGCTCCTCGAGTGTTTGAAGACCGGCCAGGTGGTGAATCTAAGAATTACGAGTTCACGGTGGACTGTTGAGGATCATTATTGATGATCTTGTTTTGGATCCTCTGAAACTTTAGGCGGTGTTACTTAGCACAACTCTCCCAAACAGGACTTCCTGTTTATCAAAGGGTAGAGCGACCTGGTCATGATGTTACACTTGGTGGATGTCTTGTCCACATGGGATCGGAATAGGAATTTACTATCGAGGGTGAGACCAAGGTATACTACTTCACTTGACCATTCAATGGGACTGCTATCAAGATGGACCTTGACGTTAGCTGATGGAACAAGCCGAGGCAGATGGAAACAGAATGGTTTGTATTTCAGCAGAATTGATACAAATCTTCCAACTCCAGAACATCCACGCCTGATTGTAGTTTACTCGCCAGAGCACGGATCACTCGAACCTTATAGATGATGGTCATCTGCGAACATTGACACGATTCCTCCACCCGGCAGGGGAGGAACGTCTGACGTGAAAATGTTGAATAGGATAGGCCCAAGCAGGCTACCCTGAGGGACCCCTGCATCAACGTTGAACGTATCAGAGGGGACATTGTTCAAGTAGACCTGGAATGATCTGCCCGACAAGTAGTTTTTGATGATCTTCAAGAGGTAGATCGGAAAGTTGTATCGACGTCCAACAATGCCATAGTAGATGTTTTTGAAACGAACTTGTTCCGCCGGATGATGTTAGTAACTCTACTTAGTTGGTGGATAGTTGAATGGCCTTTCCTAAACCCGAATTGCTCCTTGAGTCAGATGTTATTTTCATTGGAGAACTCCAGAAGTAGGTGATAGTTTTTGGCACTGGTAGGATCTTTGCCAGGCTTGTGTATTGGAATCACTTTGGCTAACTTCCAGCATGCAGGGAAGTAGCCAAGCTCCAAAGATTTGTTGAAAATAACGGTAAGATGGTTGAAGAAGTCACAACTCAAATTTTGTCAACTCGAGGTCCATACCCACGGCCTTCATGTTTTAAGTGCTTCTAATAGCTGCTATCACCTCATCAGCCGATATTCTACTCTCATCATGTACTACTATGGGGGTGTCAGCGACTCTAGACATTGCCTCCAGTACGGCAGGCCCATGGGGGCTCACCGTGGTTTGGCCAAGATTATGTGAAATCACAAAAAGTTGGCCAAAAGCATTGGCCTTTACAACTGGGGTTATGAGTAGGGATGGGTCCGAGTTCTGGTCAAGAGAGGAAAGCGGAGGGAGTGGTCTCGACATATTTTTCAATATGTTGGTCATCTTCCAAAATGGTTTTGCACAATTCCTTCTTTCCTTCATTTAATGGCAATCGCATGTCCGTCGGTGATTGGCAATAGATTGCGGAACAGAGACCGACGGTTCCGCAATCTAGTGCCAATCACCGACGGACATCGATTGCCATCCATTGACGGTAATCGAATGTGCTGGAAGGCTGCTTCCACACCTGCGTAGGATATCGCACCCATTCAACACACATGGGTCGGGACCAACGGCTTCACTTCCCTTCCGAAGGAAGACGTGACCAGAGATTTGTATGCCTCGGAAAAATCCCACCGACCTCGGCTGGGATTGAACCCAGACCCATCGGGGTGTTAGAAAGCAGTCACGCTTACCACTACTCCACCGGCGCCGGTAGTTTTGCACAATTGAATAGTGTGAATATTGTTGGCCAAATCGTTATTTCTGAGTTCCACCATCCTGGCCAGGATAATTTTAGCCTTAGCCAATTGACATTGGTCTTCAAGTGGGGCAGCCCAGAACGCTGGAACTGCCTACGAATGGTGTTACGGAGCCTAATAAGATCTTTGGTTGAGCTGTCAAGGTTCAGAGTATTACTCACCTGTCTAGATGCTGGTTCGTGTTGCTCCCTGGCACGGGATATCATCTCTTCGATGGTTTGCAGACACCGAACGACTTCTTCGAACGACTCCGGTAGGACGTCGTAGTCGATCGCTCTGTCCACACAGCGCTGGTACTGCTGCCAGTTGATACGATGGTAATTTCGCCGGGAAACTTGAGACCTATTGGCCGAGAAATCTACTTCGGCCACCACCGGATAGTGGTCCGAGCTCAGTTCCTGATAGGCGATAGGTTGAGAGATGTTATCGCCAATGTTGCTGATGAAGATGTCGATGGTGGCATGAGCTCCGGATCGACTCAACCGAGTGGGAGTGTCCGGACACAGGATATTGTAGTGGGCTTCCTGCAGATCGTTGTACAAGATTGTGCCGTTCAGGTTTCGCCAACTATTGCCCCAGGCTTGATGCTTGGCGTTCAGGTCGCCAGCAATGATGAAATTTTGCCGCCGTCGTGTTAGCTTGATGATGTCTCTGTGGAGGTTTGCGGCCGAGCCGTCCCTAATGTTGGTTTGCTCGGGGAAGTAGACCGCGATGATGGTGATTGGACCAAGCGATGCACATCAACTCCGATGGCTTCGATAGTTTTCAGCTGGAAGCTTGGTAGTAGCCGGTAGCTGATGTTCCGTCTCCCAGCGATGGCCACTTTCCCTCCCCCGGAGCTGATGCGGTCAAGCCTTACGAGCCGAAAGTGGGGAAGGAAGACGTTCAGCTCGGGCTTCAAGTGAGTCTCGGTGATGACGGCTATGTCGGTGTGCCGTTCGTTGAGAAAGTCAACAAACTCGATGTTTTTGCTCTTCAAGGAGCAAGCATTCCAATTTACGATCTTGATGGCTTCACGGTCCATACTAAGTGACAAGGGACAGGGCAGAAGGTAGCTGTTCAGATCGAGTCTTGCAGGTGCGTATGATGATGATGACCTCGGCCACGAGCGTCACAAGTTCCTCCGAAGTGAACGGAGAATCTTCGACAGGCTCATCTGAGACAGCACAAGCGTATGATAAACCAGGGGCGGTGGAGGAACTTGGAATTGACTGGGCCGCAACAGCAGCGAGACGATGCCGAACTGTCCGACTGTTGAGAACCATTTGTATACTCGCAGGATTGACTTGTTGGTTGTTGAGCGGACGCGGGGCTAGGTTTGGAACATGACGACGAGGCTGGAGAGCTGGGTACTGGACTTCCGTGAGTAAAGGAGGCGGACGATGATTCCGGAAGCGATTGGGCTAATTGTTGGTTGTAGCCTTCCGACGGATATTCATGAACTCTACTCGCTTGAGACATCTGCAATTGGAGGCTTGGTGGTTTCCACCACAGTTGACACACGTTGGCTCGATGTAATCATCTTGCTCACAGGACGCAGTTGAGTGAGTTCCAGCACACTTGCCGCAGTTTGTCTTCATATGGCAGTTTTTGTTGCCATGGCCGGAGGAAAGGCAGTTCATGCACTGTGTAACATCACGATGATGGGGTTTGTTATGATCCCAACTGATGATGACCTGAAACAGGTCCCAGATTTTGGTTCTCAAAGCCGCAAGACTGGTGGATCTCAGGAGCAAGTGGTAACGAAAGCTGGTGTTGTGGTTGGAACGCCGGTTCATCGGGTACACTGCCTCAGGCTTGAGCCAAAGCCACTCCAGCTCGGATTTCACCACAGCCGCCTCAAACGACGGTAATCCAGTGGCTTGCTCGATGTTGTCCTTCAGGAAACATCCTATTTGTTTGTACTCCTCCAGGCTGGAGCACATGATTTTGGTACCAATGCTGCAAAGCTTGAAGCGAGGCAGCAGCTTGTGTTTTGCCAGTTCGACACCCAGCTTGGCAACATCCTTGACCGGCGTGAAAAGTGGGGGAATCCGCTCTCTTCTAGCAATGGAAACGGCGTCACCATCGTCATTTTCTTCCAGAAATACTGCATACTGGTTGGCTTGCAGTATCCGTTTTCCGGCGTCATCCTGCGATGCGCTGGGCTTGCTTAGCACCTTCTTTGAAGGGCCAGCTGCTGTCTCATTGGCACGTTTACGCACCATTTGTCTCATGTTTGCAAGTTCAAGTACACTTCCACGGCAACGCGACAGCCCAAAGCGAAACAAAATCGAAATGAGAACTCGAGCGAAAATACGGACTGAACAGCTCAACAGTGGAGCAAAGAGTGATGAGAGCGGTAGCCCAACAGCAGCGTTCTTTTATAGCTTTACAGGTTCAATCAGAACGATGCGCATCCAAATGGTACTCGATTAGGGCAACCAGGTTAGGGAAAACGTTTATGTCATTAAAACAGTAATAACATTACAACTTTTTATTTATACACTTTTCAAATCTTTTTAAATGAAAACTTGAAAAAGCATTTGTTTAAGTAGATTTGTAGAGTTATTTCCCATCATTTGGTGTATTTGGATTTCAATGCCATCTATAAATGACAAAGTTATAAGCGTTCAAAATCTAACACCTCTTCGTGACGGTCACAATTTTAGATTTTAGATCATATTTTGCACACTGCCGTAATATGACGGAACTATCAACTCTATACTTTCATCTTCTCATGTATCGTATAAAATGCCCACTTTAAGTCTGATATTTGACGTTAAGCATCTCTAGATAGTTGTTACAGAAATATTGCATTTGAATGAATATGTGCATTGAAAACTGAACGTTGTAACTCAATTTCCTCTATTCCAGAATGCGCTATCCAGTGCATACCACAGCATTGTTTTACCGCCTGTGATTTTGAACACCATTTACAACTTGGAAACTTCTATCAATAATGGCGCTTTCAAAACTCTACTACAGCTGTTGAAGTTACAGATTAGAATAAAATCAGCAAAAAATCCCGAACCCCTAGACTCCCTCAATAACGTCCCACCGAGTTTGTTATGCTTTACTCGTCATCGAAACTCCACGAACCGACGGGATGACACTGTTGGAAAGCCTAAAGCCATCGACGAACTGCTAAAGTGTGTATCTTTCTACTTTAGACAATCGAAACAGGATAGGAAAAAATTGCTGATCGACATCGAGCATGCATTCAAAGTACTGCTTTGCGTCCATTTTCCTCAGATAGAGCTCTCTTCTGGTGAAATCCGCCCCGATGAGTGTGATCAAAAGGCGCAACAGTTGATCGAGGATGGTGTTCGAGCCCTTGAAGAGTGGTGCATCCGACCAGATATAGCGGAAGTAGATGAGCTCGTCAGGAAACTCAACAACACGGATGATTCGCAGACAATTGCCCAACCGAAGACTCCACTGCAGAATGCTAAAACTCACCTGTCACTTACCATTATGCTGAAGAGCATCGATCGATTTGAGCCCTTTTTGAAGGTTATTTTGGAGAAGACGGGAGCATTCAATGAGGTAAGTTTGAACCAATGCAGGTAATTGAAGACGATACTCACTTTTGGTGTTTCTTCCACAGCGGATCCAGAGTGACCTAGATACACCCTTGCACTACGCCGTTCGAAGTCAGAACGCAAGCTTCATCGAGTGGCTGCTTGGGCAGAAATCTCTGGACCTCAATTGTCGCAACAAACAGATGCAGACGGCACTGTTTCTCCTATGCGAGCAGTACAAGGTCGTTAGACAGAAGGTTCGGGATCCCAAAGAGAGGGCCGATCAACTGAAGGAATGCAGAAAGTACATCATACTGCTGTTGCAGAACGGAGCAGATTTCAACATTTGTAGCAGCAACAGCAAGGCACTTCTCCCATACGAGCTGCTCACTCAAAATGGAAAAGCAATTACTATATCGAACGATCCCATGCAGTCAGAAGAGAAGGAGTTCCTTATTCAGTGTGAGAATGTAGTACAAACAAAGGGAGGTGGCCAAATTTTGAAAAGACGCGATGATAAGTTTACGACTGAGGATTTTAGAAGCATGACAGTCGAGCTGTTGGAGATCTTTTTACGATTCAAAGACCTGAATACGTTTGAAAAGGAATGTCGAAAATTTGAAGTTAAAGGTGACGACGAAAGCAAGGTGATAACACTTCTGCTGCACACTGCAGTTGAATTGAATCTTCAGAAGTGTGTGGATCTTATTGTGGGTCGTTATGAAAAAGTGATCTTTGCTGCAGTCAATGATACATTCCATTTGAAATACCGTGTTGAGCTGAAAGGATTGCTGAAAAAAGCATGTGAGACTGCTAATTGTACAATGCTAAAAAATCTGTTGGGCAAAATGGAGAAAGATAAAATGCTCATCAATGAAGAAAGCATACTGGTGTACACATTGAACCTTTGCGCAAAATTGTCCAATGAAGGCGATCGTAAAACAAATCTTCTCAAGTGTGCTAAGTTGATGGCCACAGACAAAAGGATCTTCCACACCAAGATGGATAGTTATGGGAACACTGCTCTTCATGTTGCACTCAAATATGGATTCATGGATATTGCCAAGGCACTAATTATGGATCACAAGTACATGTTTTTGGGTGTTCATAACAAGAGAGGTGAAACTCCTCTGGACTATGCATCGTATGAATTTTGCAAAGAATATTTTGATCAGTGTGCATCACAAATTTCCTCGGGAAATGTTTTGATTAGCCTGAATGGTATCAATCCATATGTTTTGAAAAAAAAACAAGATAAATATGAGAAAATTTACAAAGTGCGAACGTACAAAGGGACACAGAGCAAAAAATTGGGCTCGGAAATGACGTGCCTCATGACGATAGTCAATTCAAAAAAGCACAAACAACTACTTCATCATCCGGTGATCTACACATTAATTCTGATCAAATGGCTGCGATTCAGCTTGTGGCACTGGCTTAATTTGATTCTAACAATGTTAGCTACAGTCGCATTTACGTATTTCTCAATAGAAAACATTTGCCATGAGAACACCTCAAAGCCTTCCTGCATCGCCAGTTGGTGTGGATTTACCTATGTCCTGTGTCGAGAACTACTCCAGTGGATAATGTTTGGCAATAAATATTTCCGATTATTTCAAAATTGGATGGATATGGCCCACGTCCTCGGAATGCTTATCGTTTTGATATGCAAGGGTTGCTCATTGATCTCTTCATTGGTGGTAATCATCTTTGCAATTCAGATTATTCAGCTCATCGGTTCGCTGCCGTTCAACAGCATCTCCACCTACCGCTGCATGTTCCGGGTAGTCGCGCTAAACTTCATCAAAAGCATTGCCCTCTTCTGTCCACTCATACTGGCCTTTGCTTACAGCTTCTATCTGTACTACAATGACAAGTTGGTACCGGTCCATAGCAATGCCACTTTGAACCCATTCGCATCTGCCACTGCTACTGGAGTAAAAATTTCGGTCATGGCTTCCGGGGAGTTCGAGGCGTCTGCGATGAACATCAGTGGGAGTATGTTTATCATTTTCCTGCTGTTCATTTTTTGCATACCCATGGTCATGCAGAATCTGATCAATGGTCTCGCAGTCAGTGACATTTCTGAAATTCGGAAAGAGTCCGAGTCGATCAACCTGTCGGAGAAAGTGCTGCTGCTTGCTCGTTTTGAGTCTGGCCTTAATAGAACCACCCCTTACAAAGCTATCAGGTACATCCTTAAACGCTTGCACAAGCTCTCTCCTGGCATGTTCTTCAGGAACTATCACCACGTCATAACAATTTCAGTGAAAGATGACGCGAAAATACTGATAGACTCTAGATACTCGCGGCAAAGCTTTTATGAAAAGCTAGGTTTTAACTGTGTGAAATTAGCTTGCCTTGCTCGACCAACCGAAATTAAGAAAAGTATGGAAATGGTTGCTTCCGACATTCAACCTCAGACCGATCCAGAATTGGGACATCCACTGCTCGTCAATAATGGTGTAAACGATACAATAGCACCTAAAACACCCGAAGGAAAAAAGAAAAAAATATCGGAAAATACTCTAAAGTCTATTCCCAGGATTCCCTGGCTAGGAATATTCTCACCCTTGGCTACACTCGATGAAAGCATGCTGGAAGAGTTGCTGTCGATTGTTTATCAGAAAGAGATCAGCAATGCACGGAAGTCGAACAAATCTTACCCTTAAACTGTGACGCGCACCAAGGATCAATCGAAGCCAGTGATGCACATTGTAACGTTTAACGTTTGAACACCACTGATGTCTGTTGAGATGGTTTTTCGTAATTGCAAATGTTCATTTAATAAAAATATAACGAACTTTTCAGCATTCAAATTTTACTTTTCCGAAATTACCCAAAATATCTGTCGAAACTAAGACCAAACTTCGTTTTTTTTTTTTCCGAGAGTACGTAAAACAACTGCCAGAATGAAATCGACCACTCTGCTCTGCTGCCACCACCATTTCAGAGTTGGTTGGAAATGCTAACATGATGCTTTAGTGTGATAATTTATTAGCTAGAGAATGGTCTTTAGAAGAAGTTACGGCAGTATGAAAATTGAAAAGAAGTTGAAAATGAGCGAAGCCATTAATGCGACGGTTTTTGAAGTCAAACGCACATCTTTTGCCTAACCCGTACGATGTACGCGGAGACTTGAAGTATGTCTTCAAGTCTACAGTCAAAAGTAGTGCATCCTCCTTTTGCTCATAACCTTCCACCTCATCCGAATCCATATCGTCATTATCCACCCTCTCAGTATCCCGAACAGTATCAAATACGACATACTTTGCCGGTTTCCAAATGGAATATAGTGAAGTACAGTGGGGATGATCAAGGTCTAAAACTAAATGAGTTTCTGGAGCACGTTCAAGCGTTATCACAAGCAGAGCATGTTTCAGAACGAGAATTTTTCGAATCAGCTGTGCGCTTGTTCACTGGTTCAGCATTAAAATGGTATATGAGCCAACGTTCGACAGGCAGACTCATGCGCTGGCAACACCTGGTATTTGAGCTTCGTAGAACTTACATGCACCCGGACTTAGACGCTTTGATTAAAATGAAAATTTATCAAAGGCGTCAACAAAAGTACGAGCCATTTCACGAGTTCTATTTTGAAATGGAGAAGATGTTCCGGACGATGAGTTTTCAAATTCCAGATTACGAGAAGATGCAAATACTTCAACAAAATATGCGTGTGGATTATAAGCGACAGATGACCTTTCTACCCATCGCTGATTTGGAAACACTCGTGGCTGCTGGTCAGAAATTAGACGCTTTGAATTTTTCACCGTGTGGGGTGTCGAGCACTTCTCGTACTTCCTGCTAGGACGCCATTTCGTGTTACGTACGGACGCACAGGGTGTTGCATTTATTGCTCGTGAGAATTCGAAACGGGCGTTGACGAGAGTGGATGGTTGGGCTTTACGACTGAGCCCATATAACTATACCATAGAATATGTTCGCGGGCGCGATAATATTGCGGACCCATCGTCTCGGCTGTACATACACAAAAATGATGATCCGTTTGACGAAACATCCAGCCCATGGGAAATTGCAACTGTTGAAGCCAAAAGCATAGAAATTTTGACTAAAGCCGAAGTGCGAGAAGCTACTGGAAAAGATGATGCTCTCCAGCAGGTAATGATAGCACTCGAAACTGGAAACTGGCCCAAATCGCTGAGTAAATTCAAGTCTATAGCTGAGGATTTGTCTGTTTGTAATGGTATCGTGGTCAAAAGAGGCTGCGCAGTGATCCCTGAATCTCTACAGAACCAAGCATTGAGCGTCGCTCACAACGGTCATCCCATGTCCGCGATATTGAAGAGTATTCTGCGTGAACGGGTTTGGTGGCCGGGTATGACGGTTGATGCCGAGGAGTGGGTTTAAACGTGCCAAGAGTGGCGTAACAAGGCGAAATGGCGCCCATGGCAAGTACTGAGATCGCGCCCACCCCCCCATGAAAATGTACTGAATCATTGAAGTATCGACCGATTATCTTTAACCTATAAAAATAAGTATAACCACAAAATAAATCACATTGTATATTTTCAATCATGTATATTAACAATCATGTACATTAGAAGAAATTGACGTCTGCGTCCGTTCTAAACGTGTATCTTCCTCGCCTTCGCTGCGGCAAAAGCATCGATAATGGAGTTAAAATCAATCTTCTCGACCTCTTCCCGTTCAACACTCAGCAAAGCAAGGTCGCTCAACCGATCCTGTCCCATGGAGGCTCGAAGATAGTTTAAAATCAATTTTAATTTGCTGAAAGATCTTTCGCAGCTCGCAATCGAAACAGCAATCGTTAATAAGATCTGAATGGCGATTCAAAGATTCGGGAACACGCTCTTTTTTTTATTTTATTTTTTTTTTAACTCTTTATTTGTTTCAAATTCAAAATCAGTGTTCACTCGGCTGTCGACAAAAGCAGGCCACTCTCGATGTGTGCTACGCGATCGTCTGTTTCCTCGGCAGCAACCATTGTGTGGTCCTCCTCATTGTTCTTCATCAGCAGTTCTTTCAGTCGATGCGTCGTCGACTTTGGAAAGCAACCGTTTCGTGATGAGTGTGTGAGTGCTGACCACGTTTTGCGTCCATTGCTGCAATGGACGCGCTCTGACCCTCGTTGGCGTACAACAATTTGCCATACAATGAAACTACTGGAAGCGGCTCCAGTTCTGATGGAGGAGGCTTTTTGGATAGCGGAAGATAAAGTGTTTATTGTGTTGTACCTTTTGACTATAGTTTTAAGATGTATTGTATAGTGACCAAGAATCCTCGGCTCTGTAAAGTTAATTCGGTTGAGCCTTATCAAATAAATTATTAAACAAAAACAAATTCAAAATAAATTACATTTCATTTTTTAATCTAGGTGCTCCAGTTACTGCAGTAACGTACCAGCCTTAATTGTTATGATATATATCTAAGTGTTTTTACATTGTTCATGTCTTGGCAATTAAGTATTTTAAACAGGTTTTTTAACCTGCATGTCAGTATAACAATTGATATCTTAAAACTAAAAACTAAAACTAAACTACTTATCTAAGTATAAAGGGAATTAATCGTTGCAATTGAGGATTGCAACGATTTTTGCCTGAAATTATTCATTATTTTGTTGGACATTTGTTCTAAAGTCTCAACATTTGAAATTCTATGTACCTCGGTAGTACTGTACCAGGGAGGCAACTTCAAAATCATTTTCAGAACTTTGTTCTGAATCCTTTGAAGTGCTTTTTTCCTGGTAGTGCAACAACAAGACCATATTGGCATAGCGTAAAGCATGGCCGGTCTAAAAACTTGTTTAAATATTAGAAGTTTATTCGTCAGGCAAAGTTTGGATTTCCTGTTTATAAGAGGATACGAACATTTAATATATTTGTTACATTTGGCTTGAATGCCCTCAATGTGAACTTTAAAAGTTAATTTTTGGTCAAGTATTAATCCAAGATATTTCACTTGGTTTGACCAGGAAATTGGAACTCCGTTCATAGTGACTATGTGACTACTACTAGGTTTCAAAAACGAAGCTCTGGGCTTATGTGGAAATATTATAAGTTGAGTTTTGGAAGCGTTGGGAGAAATCTTCCATTTTTGTAAATAAGAAGAGAAAATATCTAAACTTTTCTGCAGTCTGCTGCAAATAACACGAAGACTTCTTCCTTTAGCGGAAATGCCTGTGTCATCAGCGAACAAAGATTTGTGGCAACCCTGAGGCAAATCAGGGAGGTCCGAAGTGAAAATGTTATACAATATAGGCCCAAGAATGCTACCCTGAGGAACTCCTGCTCTAACAGGTAGTCGATAAGATTTGAAATTTTGATAATTTACCTGCAGAGTTCTGTCAGTTAAATAATTTTGAACTAATTTCATAATAAAAAGTGGAAAATAAAACTTTTTCAATTTAGCAATCAAACCTTCATGCCAAACACTGTCGAATGCTTTTTCTATGTCTAGAAGAGCAACTCCAGTTGAGTGGCCTTCCGATTTGTTTGAACGAATTAAATTGGTAACTCTTAAGAGTTGATGAGTAGTTGAATGCCCTTGGAGGCGAACCAGCCCAAGGCTGAAAGCCTCCCTAATAAAGATAAATAATAATAATAGTTTAATGCCCATGGCGAAATCCAAACTGCTCATCTGCAAACATTGAGTTCGTATTGATGTGAAGCATCATTCTATTTAAATTATCTTTTCAAAAAGTTTACTTATTGAAGAAAGCAAACTTATTGGGCGGTAGCTAGAAGCTTCAGCTGGATTTTTATCCGGCTTCAAAATTGGAACAACTTTTGCATTTTTCCATTTATCAGGAAAGTATGCCAAATGGAAACATCTGTTAAATAATTTTACCAGGAAAGACAAGGTACTCTCTGGGAGTTTTTTGATGAGGATATAGAAAATTCCATCATCACCTGGAGCTTTCATATTTTGAAACTTTTTAGTTATAGACCTTACTTCGTCCAAATCAGTCCCCCAGGAATCATCAAAAATATTTTCCCGAGAGAAAATATTTAGAAAATCCCGAGCAACCTGATTCTCAATAGGACTAGTAAGACCCAAACTGAAATTATGGGAACTCTCGAATTGCTTAGCAAGTTTTTGAGCTTTTTCCAAATTTGTGATCAAAATTTTACCACCTTCTTTAAGCGCTGAAATTGGCTTTTGAGGTTTTTTCAAAATTTTTGTGAGTTTCCAAAAGGGTTTGGAACTCGGGTCTAATTTAGAAATATTATTTTCAAAAGTTTTGTTCCTCAGGGCAGAGAATCGCCTTTTAATTTGTTTTTGCAAATCCCGCCAGATAACCTTCATGGCAGGATCGCGTGTTCTTTGATATTGTCTCCTACGGACATTTTTAAGACGGATCAAGAGCTGAAGATCGTCGTCTATTATAATTGAATCGAATTTAACCTCGCATTTTGGTACTGAGGCAGCTCTTGCTGCAACTATAGAAGTAGTCAGAGATTCAAGAGCATAATTAATTTCATCTTTGGTTTGCAAAGGAATGTTTGGATCGAAGTTATATTCCATAAATGTTCGATACTGCTCCCAATCAGCTCTATGGTAATTGAAAGTAGAGCTGTTGGGATTACAAATTATTTCTTGGGATATTTCAAAAGTTACTGGAAGGTGATCAGAACCGAAGTCAGCATGGGTAACCAGTTGGCTACAAAGTTGACATGAATCAGTTAAGACCAAATCAATAGTGGAGGGATTTCTTGCAGAAGAAAAGCATGTTGGGCTGTTTGGATATTGAATAGTGTAATAACCTGCAGAACAATCATCAAACAGAATATTACCATTGGAATTGCTTTGAGCATTATTCCATGAGCGGTGTTTTGCATTAAAATCACCAATAATGAAGAATTTAGACCTATGACGGGTAAGTTTCTGGAGGTCACCCTTGAGAAAATTCTTTTTCTGGCCTACGCATTGGAATGGCAAATAGGCAACTATAAACGTAAGTTGTCCAAATTTTGTTTCAACAGAA